TATATATATATATATATACATATATATATAAATCGTTTATTGGAATTTATCATAAGCATTTAACCTTTTGTTAATGTTCACAATCAAATCCTAATTAATATTGTCTATTCATAACCAATATATATGGAGACATAATTTAATAATAACTTGTAAATAAAGCAAATTTATGTTTCTTTAAGCTATGGAATGGTTAACAGATGAAAAAGTAAGGATTAAATTATTTAAATGTATAAACAATGGTTATAAAATAAAATTAAGAATCATCAAGAGCATAATGGTAATACATCTTTTGTTAAAATTAAAAATATAAATTATGAATGACATTTTATTCATTCATTTTTTCTCTTTGCACTCTTTGTTATATGATAATCAAACATTATTTTATAAAATAAAATATGGATTTTAATATTTTCATTAACTAGAAAATCCCACAATGAATTGGACATATTTAGCACAACTTAGCAATTCTGCTTTAAATTCAGTAGAGTATTTATAATCTTCAATTATCTCATAATACAGAGGCTTTACATTTTTATTTTATTTTTCCTAGGCATTTAATCTTAGAGAATTAGCATGGCTGATGAAGAATACTTGAGTTCAGTACCTTTCAACTTGCCATCATTATCACCTTTTTTTAAAATTATTATCTTTTGCATCTTAAATCCTGACTTAGCTAAAAATTGAAATCTATCTTGGCATGTATTGAATCTCTTGAGCTTCAATCATAAATTTCAATTCAATGGCTATAGTTATCTTTTGCTTAATTATTCTCATTAACCTTCCACTCTTGGAAAATATATCACTCAGTTTAATTTAGTGGTTATCTATTAATGAGTTATTTGCTTGGCTTCATGAATTACAATATTTAACTCGATGGCTACATTTTTTATCAATCTTTTGGCTACGTCACTTCCTTCCCATGTGTATGTATAACTATGCTCAATAGCCTTAAGGCATCTAACCTAGTATAAGCTTGAGTGTATTCCACCTAATAATTGTATCTTAAGACTCTAAATTATGGCTTCAATGGATTCTTTAAGAGCCTCTCCTACTCATTTTATGATAAGGTTTGTTTTATCAATATGCATGCTTTATTATTTTAGATTATTTTTTTTATAACACCCAAATTTTTATATTAACCTGCAAAATACTTTAATCTTTAATATTATACAAAAAATATCATTGTTACTATCTTTTTAAAATGAAATACACTTTCAAGCATAGATTTATCACACCAAAGTATTATAAATATAAATATATAATTTTAGATGTTAAACATATAAATACATAGGAATTATATGATCTATACGTAAATTTAGTTTTTTTAATTTAACTTAAATAAATTAATAAAATAAAATAATTCTCTCTCATAATTTACTTGTTTATAATATTACTACAAATTTACAACAAAGTTACTTGACATCCTCAACTGAGCAAATATTGAGTACACCAGACTTATATGTGGATCGTGATATTTGATAATATTGGAGTGCAATTGCACATCAATACCACCAAAATAACACCCAAGAAAAAAAAAAAAAAAAAAACATAATCTACTTTATACAATATTTTTCTCTCTTGTTTTTCAAGCAGGAGAGAAAGATGCGAGGAGCATTGGGGGCGAGGCAATGGAGGCGACTGCCTCCACCACCTCCGCTTCCTCTCAGCAGCTCTTTGAAGAAGAAGGTCCGGCTTCCGAGGCCTTCAAAGAGACTCCTCCTCCGTCTTCTCGTCGTCATCGCCCTCATTGCTTTTGTCCCTCCCGTATTCTTCCACTTCCGCCTGCGCCTATTCAACCAGGCGAGCTTCTTCTCGATCGTTTCCCTCAGGCGCAAACCTAATCAACGATCTCCTTTTTTTTTTTTTTTTTCTTTTTCATATTGATTTTTTATCGGCCTCACAGGATTGGTCGCAGCGCTCGTATTTGTGTTGCATATAATCTGTTGTAACCCTACATTTGGATTTTTTATTATTTTGATTGATGCAGATGCGAATGCGGAAGTGCGACTGGTTGGAGAGTCCTCCACTTCTTTGCGCACACGGCGGCGATTCAAGCCGGGCAGCGCCTAACACTGTAAGTATCTTTATTTCCCGTTGATTTTTCAAAAATCTTAAAAAGAAGTGGTATTGGTCCTCGATGTTGTTTTATCTCCTTGCTAGCTCATTTAAGCTACATCGATAATACTGAACAAGCTACCAATATCGTTTGTTTCATTAATTTCCAAACCTTATTTATATAAGAAAGCGTAGCAAGGAGAGGCATGGGAAGAATGTACAGGTAGTGTATCATGTTTCTTGGAGTGTAGAGTTGCAATTGAGGCACTCTATTCGATGCTTGAAATAAAAGGCTAAAGGCATAGTTTAGATGCTTTGAATCATTTGTATATGGCTACTTGGGAATTAGGATATGATAAAGCCATACCAATTGAAGAACTTGGCTCCAAATTAATCTTGTTGCAACCCCAATTCTATTATATGGATATATTTTATGACCTTGTTAGCTTTGAAGTCCCTTCCTTAACAGTTGGATGAAGAACGTGCTAGGGAGAATTTGTATATTGATGTCTGAAAATACTATTATGGTGCTATGCTCTACAAAATGCTCTAAAATAGCACACTGAAGCGAGCACTTGTGCATTCTAGCATTGATTGAATATCACTTATGTTTAAAAGAATCCATGAAATCCATAATTTACAGTTGAGTCTCAGAATTCTTCCCTTGTTTCAATTTACCAAATTATCACTCCTCCCTCTATGATTATGTCTTCCTTATAAGAGTCATGGTGCTATACATTGGTCTGATAATTTTTTTTTTGGAAAGTGTTCATGATCATAATTTAATTAGTTTCAATAAAATGCTTAAACCGCATGATCTTTTCTCTAGGATGCAACATCATATTACATTCATGTCTGCAAAATACACATTGTGATCACATGGTCTCCATGTCCTAGTGTTTATTGGGCACCATTAATATTTTGAAAATATTGAGGTTTCTAAACTCCCTGGAAACAAATATTTATTAAAATTATGTATTTGAGAATCTCCTTGAGGCCAATCTTAGAGTGAAGCACATGCTGAGCATCTTGAGGCCTATGCCTCATAGTGGGATCAAGTAGCGTACGCCTTAATTGTTCGAGCTGTATCTTGAGGGACATGTAATGATATGCATGCCTTTTATCACTTGTATTAACGTTTTGGAAGATGGTAGAGATGTTTTCATTATTAATGATGCCCCCAAGGGTGATGATTGATTTTGTGGGGGATAAAAGTGGAGTTTCACAATCATAATTGCAAAAGGAAAATTTTTGTGTTGTTTTTTTAATGGAAGAAGGAATAAGAACAACAGTAGTTGTTAGAAAGTAATAGAGAATATTAGTATAAAGTTTTATGTGATAGAAATAATTTTATTGAATTTTATTAATTATGGAAAAGAAAGATTATTGATATTAAAGATGATGAAAAAGATTGGGAAGATATTGATATAAGTGAGGACAAGGAATGTGAGAAAATAATTAACACTGTTGTTTATTCTAATAAAGACTCTAACTAATATTAGTGAGGAGAGAGTTTTGAATTCAAAGTCTCAAGTCATAATTAGTTTTTTTTATAACATATATATTTTATTTATTTTAAACTTTATGTTTATGTTTACTTGTTTATCTTAAACTTTTTATTTGTTAGAGTGATTGCATGGTTTTTTTTTAAATGTTATTTTGGCATCTTTTGTTTACTTTCAAATACTTTATTAGGGAAAAATTGAGCTTGAATTTTTATGATGTTATCTATTATTGAACAGACACATGCAAGCATTCACATATAAACTATTTCATTCTTTATACATACATTATTATGAGACATTTTTATGCATCTTCTAGCATGTATATTTGTTTAGTTGTACAACTATTAGTCAGCATATCTTTCATATCATTCATATATATATCTCGTACACATTTCTTACTTATATCTATCTCATGCATATCTCTTATTTTATGCATATTTTTTATATTGTGCCGATCTTACATATAATGCCCATCTTAATATCATTTATCTCATGCATATTTTTAATGCATGCACATATTTTTCTACTATGCCTGTTTTGTTAGCGTTCCTATCTAGCAATATGAAGAATCTACTGCAATATAAATTTAACTGACCTAAAGCATACATATAAATCAGCATAAATTAAAAAAAAAAGAAAATTACTGAAATTTAGAAATGTAATTACTCATCGCAATTGTCACGCTAAAGCCTTAATCTTCGATAGCTAGCTGGAGGTTGTGATTAATTTTACTTGGTGATTAATAACCTATAAAATATAATATTAAACTTTAAAATTTACGTAATTTTTGTTAATCAAATTAATCTTCTTAAATTATCATAAGATGAATTTACCTGAATTTACGGGGTCATTTTTCAGTGAATGCCCACACTCTCGCCTTAATCCCACCGGCCCAGTAAACAACCTAAAATCCACAATTAACTTCATATTTAAAGATATTTTGGCTAATAAAGTAATTTAACCACTAAAACATACCTTAAAAAGCCTTCTCGACAATCAACTCTTCTTCAAAATGATCAAATCTTCTTTTTATCACCTCTAACCACACCTCTTCCACACTGGTATCGTGCTAGAACCCCCATTTGGAAGCTAGAAAAAGATGTTTGACGCTTCCGGTGCATAATCGAAGCCTCCGACGATGATTGTAAAGGAAAAAGGCAATGAAAACGAGACAAAAATCAAAATAAAAGTGCGAGGAAGAAAAGGGAATGTCTCAAATATTGTGAAATAAGGATTCACATTTACAAAAATTCTCCCGGAGCCTGCAAGCTGCAGCAACCCTTTGCTGATCGACCTTTTTCATTCGCGCAGCCCGTGGCCCTTGCATTGCAGCAGGGTCGCGACCCCTTCTGTGTGCGACGAGCAAGGAACAGGGGGAAATCGAGGAAGAGAAAGAAAATTGGGAGAAAGGGGGATTTGGAACCTTCAGATGCCTTTCGACCGAAAGGAAAATAAAATGGTGTAAGTCGGTGGGCTAGTGTGCTGAGGATTGGGGAAAGGATTAATCAAAGTAATTAGATTTAACTAAGTTAACAAAAAAAATATAATTTCCATATTTCATATCTCTCAATCTATTCATAATTAACATATAGTACTTTATATAAAATAGATTGATTTTTCGTGTAGAATTTTATAAAATTGATTCAATTGAAATCCGAGAGGTGCGAAAATTAGGTACAATTTAAGTCTCCAAAAATTTTCTCCATTTTCTCAAAAATTGGCTATTACAATTTTCCTATCCTAGGCCGAACCTTATGACTTAGCTTTTTTACTGTTACTTTCTAGGAAATCACACTTAATTGCGGAGTTTTCAATGGAAATTCACTGGCTGCACCAAAAGACGCCTTTATTTTATGAATTAACTTTCTTAGTTATAAAACCTAGTATCCTTTCTTCCGCTTGTAATGCGAGATTTGATTCTTTAGTACCTTATTTTGGTCTTTAGATTTATGTCAAATTCTACTCCTGGCTACTCCTGCCTGAGCCTTAGATTATGGCATCACTCTTCGATCTAATTGAACAACCCTCTTGAGCTATGGGACTTGATAGGTCCACCAGTTTGTGCTTGTTTCATCCTTGAATTTCATCCTTGAATTTCATCCTTGAACCACACATTGTACTAGAAGAGTTCTGATGCTGATGCTTATTGTAATGCTTCATGTTATTCTATGGAAGGTATTGTTTGTTTTGTCCCAGTCCTTACCATATCAAGTTAAATCTCTTAATTTTTTCCTTATAACTTTCTTGGTTACTCATCCAATGAGTGGTTTACCATGATCATGCTTAACTATGGAGTTCCCAAGAGCAGTGCACTCATTTCATCACAAGGCTCATCACATATTATGTCTTTACTTTTATTTGTATAGCCCAGCTTGCTCTCCTACACCTGTGATATGGGATTTGTTTCATTGTTGCACCTTTTTTTTCCTATAGGCCTAATAGGAGCCATTCCTTGCCTATGCCTTCATCCTTGTCGATCATTGCCCGCTTTTATTAGATCACACTTTTTAGATTTGGGAGGTGATACACTTGCTCTTAAACATTGTGCAACCATGGTTGAAAACACCGAAGTCCCATGAGGGTCTCAAAATGGATGAACATTCCAATTATTAATTATCTTGATATTTCATTATTGCCCTGCAACTATTTTTGGAAATGGGACTTCCTAAATCAAGAATGCATATCAAATGGACGATTGTATACTGTGGTATCATTGCTTATCTCAATCCACATGAGGATTCTATAATCCTGCCTTAGGATCTATGTATGTCGTGCTACATGAATTGTGAAGATTGACAACTATAAAATGAGAGTTTCTCCAAGGATGTTGTATTTTATTTTCTCTTGATTCCTCATCAAAATGCCCTTTTATTTCTATGATTTCTTGTTAGATAATCTTGGTTTGTAGGATTTTTGTTAAATTTTTCCTTCTCCGTGTAAGAGTGTACTTCCTTATTATTAAAGAGCTAATTGAGTTTTTTGATTTTGTACACCTTTGATTGTGGGCTTTGTATTTTTGGTGGATCATACTTTCTCTTACTTTATGGATGTAAGCTTGGATAACGCCTAGCTACATAAATTTTGGTATTTTCTGGGTTATTTTCTATTTCTCTTTTGTGATTCTTTGTGACACATTATTTTTTATCTTGGCGATGCTTTTACTTCAAGGCATTTGTAGCCATTGTCACAATAAATTTGCACTAAAGGTAGTTTTAACCATGAATTTCTAGATTGATAAGTATGCTGGGCAAAAAATATTGGCATTTTAGAGAGTCAAAATGCGTTTTGTTATTGTTTAATAAGATGATTTGAAAGCAATTACGGGGCGTTAAAAGCTGAAACAATGTTGAGTGAAGATGAAAAGTTATAAATGGTTGAAAAAGAACTTATAGCAATTTCGTTGTGTTTGGTGGATGAGGTCTTGACAGAGAGAGGGCTTGAAGGAAACAACTGCGGGACATTTATAACTAATTGTTCCTGATCAACAACTCTAACAAATTCTTTGAAAAGTAAATGCTGCATTTAAGCTTATGCAAGAAAGTTTGCTAAGTTTAGTTCAATATTCATGATTTCAGAATGTTGTGCTTGCTAGTGAGTGATCAAAAGAGGATCGAAGTTAAGCAAGATATAGTAGGGATCAAACCCGTTTTCAGCTCACACATTTAGGCACATGGGTAAGGGCCTAGCATATGATATTTCTAGACTAACATATTTTTCAGTTATTCTATATAAGATTACTCAAATAATTTACGATAAATAATTTACTCATGTGAGAGCTTTTCACATTGGCCATTACTCTTGTAAAAAGAGAAAGAAAAACAAATTCAACATCATCAAGCATCATGCACTAAGGGGCCTTTCAACCACTTGAAGGCATCTTAAGAGTCACTTGCTATTAAGCCTCACTCAACCAATTGATACAACAACAACAATAACAAACATTTATCCCACTATGTGGGGCCGACTACATGAATCCTCCATTGCATCCATTTGATTGTCATATTTTCATTTAATTCTAATAAATTAATATCATTTTTTATAAAATATGCCCAAGTCTTTTAGGTATACACCTGTCTTTCTTAACATACATCAAATCTAAAACATTTACTCTACTAATCGGATCATCAGATAGTCGACCTTTAATGTGACCAAACCATCTAAGATGACTATCTCTAATTTTGTCAGCTACTGGAGCCACACCAACTCTATCACAGATATATTTATTTTGCTTTTTGCCTTAAGTGTAAAGCCACTCATCCACCTAAGCATTCTCATCTCGGCCTCATCTCCCACCTAAGCATTCTCATCTCGGCAACACTTAACTTAGTTTTGTGCTTCTCTTTTAAAGGCCAACATTCAACCCCATAGAGCGTTGCAGGTCTCACCACGATCTTATAAATTTTTTCTTTCAATATGAGCGGTACTTTTCTATCACACAATAGGCTCGAAGCATTCCTCCGCTTCAACTAACCAACTTGAATTCTACTAATAATATCCCCATCTATATACTATCACTTTGAAAAATAAACCCGAGATATCTAAAACGTTCACACCTTTTAATAATTTGATCACTTATAGTTACAACTCTATCACTAGATCTACATGTATTGAATGTTAGTTTTACTCGAATGAAAGCCTTTAGACTCCAATGTAGAACTCCATAATTCAAGCTTTTTCCGAGCTTTCTCTCTAGTCTTATTCACGGGAAGGATATCATTATTGAAAAGCATACACCAAGGTACATCCTCCTGTAAATGCCCAATAAGAGCATCCATTACTAAAGCAAAAAGATGTGGGCTTTAAGTCGTTCTCTGATATAATCCAAATATTTGGTCAATCATCCTTCTGTTCGAACACAAGTAACAACTCTAACATACATATCTTTAATGACTTGAATATAAGTCATATCAACACCATTCTTCTCTAGAACTCTTCAAAGGATATCTCTTGGAACCTTATCGTAAGTTTTTTCTAAATCAATAAAAATCATATGTAGATCCTCCTTATTCTCTCTGAACTTCTCTATCAAACCTCTCAATAAATGTATAGCTTCCATAGTAGACCTGCCCGACATAAATCCAAATTGATTATGACAAATCCTTGTAATACGTCTTAACCTATGTTCAATTTCTCTCTCCCATAATTTTAAAGTATGACACATCAACTTAATTCCTCTATAATTTGCACACTTTTGTGCATCCCCTTTATTCTTAAAAAAGAGGGCCAAAATACTCTTCCTCCACTCCTCAGACATCTTTTTAGTTTTTAAAATAATATTAAAGAGTTTAGTATCCAAGAAAATCCCAAATTCTCCTATATGTTTCCAGGCTTCAAGTAGGATATTATCAGGTCCTGCAGACTTTCCACACTTGGTTTTCTTTAAAGCCTCCTCAACTTCTTTTTAGCCAGTGGGATGGTAAAAAAGAAACATTTATTAAACATTTATTATTATTAGTATTATTATTAGTGATATTAAGATCACTAAGGTTGATCGTATTTTTAGAAGCTTCATTAAAAAGTTTATCAAAATAACTCACCCACCTATATTGAATATCTTTTTCTAAGAAGAATACTTTAATTTTCATTTTTAATACACTTTACTTGATTTAAATCTTTATTTTTCTTTTCGCTTTGTAGGCTAGTTTATACATATATTTTTCATCATGTTTAGTATTTAACATATTATAAAGATCACTAAAAATAGAATTTTTAACGTCACAGAGTGTTCTCTTAATCTCTCTACAGGTCATATTATATTTTTCTCACTTTTCTAATCTTTTAAATTTAAACCAATTTTATAGCATAACTTCTTATATTTTATCTTTAATTGCATATTGTTATTCCACCATCAACTATTTTTATTAAAAGAATTTTTTTCTTTTGGTTCTCCAAGTACATCTTTTTCCACTCAACCAATTGATGATATCAAAAAATCATGAGAGCCACAAATTCAATGAACTGCTCATTCCTAACCAAATTTTCGGTATTAATCCTTATTATTAGAAAGTGATCCAAAGTTACGAAAGTTGAATCAGATACACAAACACTCAAACTTGGTCGCTTAAAAGTTTAAGGTTATGAGTGAGGGCTAGATATTTGATATTTTTCTACCATCCCATGTAAAGTTTCATGAGCCCAAGCTAATTAGAAAGAGGGAAGCAATATCTATCTCTCTCTCTCTCTCTCTCTCTCTCTATATATATATATATATATATATATATAATGTTACTTTTAGTACTCAGTTGTTTGCATTTGCTCCCAGATGGATGCCTATCACATTGCTATTCAGTCTCATGTGGATTGCATTGAAATAGATGTCTTTGTATGGTCCCTTCTATGACGACTCCAATTTGCCGAGTGACAAGCTCCTAACTGCGTCTTCTACTTTCTTAGGATCAAGTCACGAAGCTTAAAAGTCTTCTCTTTGACATAAGAGTTATAATATTTTGCTACTTGCACCTTTACCTCCTGTTTTGTCGACGATTGAATGCGGAGCTCCTTCAGCAGATCTAGTATTGTCTCTATCCCTTTGTTAACAGTTCGTCACTTATTAAGTTCCCGGTCTTCAAAATTAGAGGTGGCGACCACACTTTGACTATTCAAATTGTACTTGACCGGTAGCATGCCTTCAATTTCGTTTGACAAGATGCAGTACGTTTGCCTGTTAGAAGTGGAAAGAGTTGTTCAAAGTTTCCAAAGAACTTATGATGGCAATTCTGCTCAGCTTGTCACACCTTTATACTTTTGGTAGCAAATGTAGTATGAATTTGTTTGCTGCTTTAACTTGGCTGTATGTACGTGTGTGTGTATATATATATATATATATATTTGTGTGTGTTTGTGTGCGCGCGCGCGTGCGTGAAAGACCTGGCTCATTGGTGCGGTCTCTGGCGTAAGTCCCTCGGGTCGGGGGTTCGGATCCTGTGGTGCGGGCTCTTCGAATCAGAAGCAAGCACACCAGAGTTTTCAACCCTTTGGGAGAATAGATAATTTATTTTTGGTTTACTGTAAATGGTTAGTTTAGATTCAGATTAAAAAATACACTTGGTAATGCTGATCATTGTCTACAGGAGAGATGCCAAAAGTTCACCTGGAATTTCTGATCTTGTCAATATGATAGTAAATTTAATGTTACTCTTGGTACTCAGTTTTTGCATTTGCTAACAGATGGATGCATATCACATTGCTATTCAGTCTCATGTGGATTGCATTGAAATCGATGTCTCTCGTTCCTTAGATGGGACCCTCTTTGCTCTTCATGACAGGTGGACACCTAAACTTAAGCATCTTCTAATTTGACTGCAACTATTTAATTTTTTAGTCATGCTGAAACAATAAACTTCAAGCAATACCAAGAGTGTGATGTGTAAATTTCTGTGAGATCAGAATTGAAAGCTTTATATGCTGGAAGAGGTTCACAAAATTCATTGGCCTCATAGAACATGTAAATCTAAAATCTTGCATGCCAAAATTTTATATATCGTGGAATTAATGTTGCCTTCCTAATTATATAATTTAGCAAACAATACTTCACCCGTTAGAAGTCTTGGTCTAATTTTTTGATGTTCGACAATCTATTTAAATATGACCTGGTTTTCTAGTTATATGCTATTATATGCATAAAGCATTATCATAGAATTTATTATTTTTACTTAATTTTCTGTATTAGTGCGATTGGTGTGTTCGTTAAGGCTAGCTTGATTGAGGATTTAACTAATTCATTAGGAAAAGTTAATTCAGAGGGTTAGCTTCATTTATAATATTATAAAAGGTTGGGTTTGTTTTCTTGGACGTCGGGAATATATAGTAGTTTTTTTTTTTTCCTTGTCACGTTGGAACACAATGTAGTAGTGGGATAAACTCATTTTTCCGTTTTCTACAAAATCGTAATGCCTGTTCTTAGCGGGCATTTATAGTGAGTTATGTTGATGAGTACAGTTGATCTCAACCCATCCGTAGCTTGAGCTTCTGCAAATAGCTACAGTAGTTAGTTTATCACTTAGTCATGTGTTGACGATGAGAAGTCTAGAAGATATGGCGATGGAACTATATAATGAGAAATTGGAATAAATAAGAAACTAAAGAAAAAAATGGGAACTAGGATTTAGAGTTTATAACTTTTTAAAGAAACTATTGAATTTTTGTTTTTTGAAGTAATATATATTAATATTTGGTAAATGAGCTGCCTCACAACTCAACCCAAGCTAGGGTTGACTCATACTTTTGCCTCATTTGCTCAACATGTGCCATTTTCAAAACATAGCTTGAGCTCTTTTAGCTGCATCCCCAAGAGATTGTAGCAATGAAGTTAGACCGGGATTTAACGTGAATTTAGGCTAAATCTTGCTAGACATTCAATCTGGACAAAATAAAGACACGGATTTGATAAATCTGGATTTTATAGATTTCAATCGTAAATGCCTTATTTACTAAATCTTGTTATTCGACAAATTTAGTAAATTTAGGATCACTCACATGGAGGAAAAAGGCGAGGAGGAAGTTAGAGGAAGGAGGAGGAACACAACATGTAATATATATTAATATTTGGTAAATGAGCTGGCTGACAACTCATCCCAAGCTAGGGTTGACCCATACTTTCGCCTCATTTGCTGAACATGTGCCATTTTCAAAACATAACTTGAGCTCTCTTAGTTGCATCACCAAGAGATTGTGGCAATGAAGTTAGATAAGGATTTAACTTGAATTTAGGCTAAATCTTGCTATACATTCTGTCTGGACAAAATAAAGCCGCAGATTTGATAAATCCAGATTTTATGGATTTTAATCGTAAATACATGATTTACTAAATCCTGTTATTCTGCAAATTTAGTAAATTCAGGATCACACACAGAGGAAGAAGGCGAGGAGGAAGTCAGAGGAAGGAGGAGAAACACAACATGCATCTTTCTCAATGGTTTATGGTAGGAGCTAAGCAGGAGAAAGTTGGGAGTATTGGCGGTCTTTGCACACCGCGTTCTCGCTGTTGCCTTCCCAAGTTGTTCTAACCGTGATTGTATTGTGAGAGCTTCAATGACGAAGGGGAAGGGGAAGGGGAAGGGGAAGAGGAAGGGGAAGTGGAAGATAGGTGAGGGTTTCAGGTTATATGGGGAAGATAGGTGAGGGTTTCAGGTTATATGGGGGAGAGGGGAGAGGGGAGAGGGGAGAGGGGAGAGGGAGGTGGTAGACAAGGGGTTTCGGGCAGGATGAAAGGGAAGATAAGTTTATGAATTTATTAATTTTTATTAAAAATTAACACATTCATTCTGGGGTCCAAAGACTCGGATGCAAAAAGTGGAGAGTTGTGTTAGGCAATCGACAACCAGCGTAAAAAAATTATCGAAAATTATGACATGAATCCTTTAACTCATTTTTGTCAATGCTACGGTGTGTCCTGCAAGTGATACATTGCATGACCTGAACACTGACAAACGAGCATGGGTTATTACATCGACACATGGATGTAGTGTTAAATAAGCACATCTTCTCATGTCATGAACAGATGCAAGTAAAAAAGTTAGTTCATGAAAACATTATTATGATATGAATTTGGAATATATGTTCTCTTATAAATAAATTAATAGAATTAATAGATATTATAATTCATATGAAGATAAATATCTTATACATTCAAAAAACTAAATTGTTGGAGAAAAGACTAAGAAGATTGATAGTTTATGTTTTAAACTTTGGCAGTAGTCGTACTAGAAGTTGTGTAGATAGAATTTTAAATAAGAGTTTCAAAAATAATATTGTAAAAAATAGTAGAATTAGAAATAAAATGATAGCTCTAAAGATTGTTGTTGATATTAAGATCCTTAGTATTATAAGCGCTTATGCTCTCTAAATATGTTGGGATAGATGTTCAAAAAACATATTGAAGTGACCGAGAAGAATTGATATGATACGTTTTGAACAAAGAATTTTTATTGAAGGAGGTTTAAACATACATATTGATAGAATTACAAAAAATTTTGAAAGTATTTTAATAACTATGTTTTTGAAATGTTTAATGAAGAATTTAAAGCGATATTCAATTTTGTTTTAGCTTATGACTTTCTTATTGATAATAATTTGTTTTAAAAAAAAGATGAGTGTATTATCACTGATAGGAATGAATCTAATAAAACAAAAATTGATTATTTCCTTATAAGAAAAGTAGATTGTGGAGATTGTAAGGATAGTAAGGTCATTTTAAGTGAAACTTTTTGAACCCAACATCGATTATTATTTTTAGATTTTAAGGGGGATGATGGAAAAATTAAAAATACAATAAAATATTATCATAGAATTAGATAATGTCACTTAAAAAAACACAAATAAAGTTATTTTTATGAGTAAACTTCAAAATTTTAATATTTGACTTGTTCATGAAGAAGCTAATCCTATATGAGATAAAATGAGGAGTACTATTGAGCTTGTTACAAAAATATGCTTGGAGAATCAAAAGGCAAAAAAAAATTTAAATAAAAATATTGGTGGTAGAATAATAATGTGCAAGAAAATATAACAAATAAAAAAAGTTATTATAAAAATTAGTTTCAATATAAAAGCTTGGAGAATTGAGAAAATATAAGGTGACTTGTTGGGATTATAAAAGAATAATTTGTAATGCTATTTGTTTTTAATGCTATGTATGATAGAGTAGATTTTAAAGATGGTGAAAAATATATGTATAAACTAGCCAAACAAAGAGATAAAATATATAAAAAATTAGTTCAATTATGTTAAAGATGAAAATAAAAAGTTTTTTTTTAGATGAGAATATTTGGCATAGGTGGGTGAGATATTTTGTTAAACTTTTCAATGAAGATTGTAAAAATGCAATCGATGTTAGTGATATTAATATCATAAATAATAACTAATTTTATATTTCCACTATTACATTAATAAAACAAAAGTTGAGAAGGCTTTAAAAAATGAGAGGTGAAAAAACAATAGGACCTGATTGTATTCTAATAGAAGTGTGAAAATATTTAGGAGATAGAGAATTTATTGGCTCATTAAACTTTTTAATATTATTTATAAATTAAAAAGATGAATGATGAGTGGAGAAATAGTTTGTTGGTTTATTTTTAAGAATAAATTAGATGCACAAGAGTGTGCAATTTGTAGAGGAATAAAATTAATGTGTCATAGATTAAAATTATGGGAGAGTAATTAAACATAGGTTACGGCATGATACACAAATTTCTCAAAATCAGTTTGGATTCATGCTAAACATGTCTAATATGGAAGCTATACATTTATTGAGAGGTTAGATGGAAAAATTTAGAGAATAAGGAGGATCAACATATTATTTTTGTTGATTTAGAAGAAATTTATGATAAAATTCCAAGACAAGTACATTGGAGAGTTCTAGAAAAGAGATATGTTGATATTGCTTATATTCAAGCCATTAAATGGGGTGTTTGGCTGCAGAGAGGACTTAGCGTTAGTAGGATTTAGTAAATTCTGATTTGTTAAATCCACCCATTGTTGGATTCATTAAATCCAGATTTAACATGAATCAAAGGCAAAATTCAAATCTTAAATCCAAAATTTCATAAATCTATGAAACTTTTGTTTCTTGTGTTTGGCTGGATTTAACAAATCTTTACCATAAATCCTATTAACAGGGAGCTACCAAACACCCCGAAGATATAAGAAGAAAGAAGAAGGAGAAAAGCTTATGTAGCTTTGGATTTATAATTGTTACGTTGCATAATTTGTTACATGGAAAAAAATTAAATGCTTCAATAATAGAGGATCTTGTAGTTTTATAGGACACTTAATTGATATGCAGTGAGCCTACTTGGCGAGTAATTGTACCTAAGCTGTGAATTGACAAGCTAACAAATCTGGGCTGCTGAAAATGATGCATTGACCCAGTTGTTCTATGAATTGACTTGCATCGTAGATCGGTTAATTAGTTGACTATTCAATCATCCCAATTGGTCGAACTGGTATTTGACTAGACCTGCCTTAAATTTGATGTTGAGCCAACCCTATATGAGTATAAACTAATTGAGTTATCTGGTATTTGGTCATGCTTTTTCTCTTTGTTTTCTCACTCACTCGCTCCCACTCCTCTTGCTCTCTCAGTCTCTCACTCACTCACTCACTCACTCACTCATGCTCTATATAAATTTGAACCAATTGAACTGATGCCAACTGGTTCATTTTATTTTATTTTATATTTTGATCTTCACAGACATCGTTTTCTCTGCTTGGGTAATTTTCTTCAGCCATTAACCTGTATTTAAGAATCTTAATTGTAAATATCACACTGGAGAGGTGAATGGGAAACCAACTAATTTTTGATGTAGCCCTGGAAGACAGAAAATTACTTCTTTCAGACTGGAATTCCAGATATTTTTTTATTTTTTCTAATTTTAGTTTGATTTGTGCCGAAATCAATTGAAATTTTCTTTGTGAAGTTGCTCAGAAGCAGCTCTGATTGTAAACATACAAATAGTTTTCTCTAGTGTAACTGCTTTAGTTCACGTCCCCAAAGTGGGAATATGATGCAGGCCAAAATGATCTGATTGAGGTTGACCACTCGTTTGCATCTTCCTTCCATGCTCATGAAATTTATGAGGAGATGGCCATTGTAAAATAATGCCTGCTATTGAAGCGATTTTTAATTTCTGCCATGATGGAAATATTGTTGAAAATGTCAGCCAAGGTATATAAGAGAGGAAGTGGGGGATTAGAAGCTACAGAGAAGGAAGAAAGGTCATGTGGAGCAAAGGGGGACGCCATTATTATAATTTTAGGTCTATGATTAATCTTGCATCGTAACGTCTAATTCCTTCGAAACCTTTGGGTGACTAAAATTCCAAGCGAACTTCTCTTTTATTATGTATCTCCAAAGGTTTCTTTCTTACTTGCTTATGCAAATGTACCAAAAAATGGTTAACTCTTACATGACAGGCAGGGATCTGCAGAGAATGTCAGGCAATAGTACTGCGAAAGTTGGTTTCATGAGCACAGAGGAGGTTAGACATTCTTATTTAAGTGCATTTCAAAAATTTGATATTATTTACTTCTGACAATGGTTAATGGATTATTATTTCTTCAAAATTAAATCTTATTGAATGCTTTTATAGAAGAATATATTTTAGTTTCTGGTGTAGATAAACAAACTGGAAGCAGACTTTAAGTTGGGACTAGGATCCAGTAAATATAAAGTACCCACCATCCATGAAGCTTTAATGGTAATTCTATCACTATTTCTCTCTAACACTTTAAATTTATTTCATTTCTGGTGCACACAAACAGCCCGAAATGCACTTTATGTTGATAACTCTTATTTTTCCTTTTATTTCACATTGTCATGTTTGAATTACTTTTTCACGTTTTGCTTGTATTCATAATCTTTCTTTTTAGTCTTAGTTGTATCATGGGAATATGTTTTCCTGTAGTTTGTGTCGGGTTCAGTCAGGCAGGTGGTTCTAGATGTGAAAGTTGGGCCACCGTCATTTGAGAAAGACTTGGCCAAGGATGTTTTATCTGCTGTAAGTTTTTACTTCTCTGTTTAGTTGAGTTGAGCAATTCTTTGTATTTGTCATTTCATCAGATAATCCCGTCCAATTTGGCTTATTTAAACCGATAAACCTAGTTGTAATCAGGCTTGTATGCTTAAATATGGCAAATGTTAATTATTGATGAATTTTATTTACTACTTCCCGAGTAGTATTCAGGTATTATACTTTGCTGTGCCTTGTGGAAAATATAACCTGGAAAACAAACATAACTGAAAACTAGCTCAGCAACTCGAATTCCCTTTGTAAACAGGTGCATAGAAGTGAATGCAAAAACTGTTTGATTTGGGCAAAAAGTGATGTTGTGGTGCAAGACGTTGTGAAGTTAAAAGAGGATGCCATGGTAACGTGATCTTCTTCTCCTACACATTCATCATTTTCTATTTATTTCAATTTGGTTGGTACAATTAACTCTTAAAATATTTTGCCTAGCATTTTGTGATTATCTTAATTTTTTGCATAATTTTACTTTTTTGACAGGTTGGTTACATCGTCATGAAGGATCCTGACACTGGTGCCATGAGTAATTTACTAAGGATGGAAAATGCAGTAATTGTTGGGGTCTACCATCCTTTGATTGACAAGAGGCTTGTTCAAATATTGCACGGGTATGTCCTTAATTCATGCTCTTGCTTCCTTCATTTATATAACAGATGTTCAAATTTGTTATTTAATCAGGTTCAATCTTAAGCCTAGAAAGCAGATAATAGTTAATGATAGCATGGATTAGAGATAGGATGTAGGAACAGCTGGCTGTTACAAAATGATGTGCTGGGTGTTAAGGTTGTTACAGTCAGCTTTCTTATATTGTTTAATAAAACCAGCTGTTGCCATTACAATTGTAAGTCATTTGAAAAACTATAAATAAGACCAAGTAGCTGAGTGATCAGGAATTTTGAGTGTATCGCACTATGTTAGCAGTGACTCCGGAGGATGTGGTTTGATCAAGTAATAATGAGTGAATAGAGTATCGTCTCATCGGGATTCTATATCAATTACCAAAATTAAATATACCAACTATTATCCAAAATATTAAAATGGTGTGATGAGCAGAGCTAATTTAAACTATGCCTAACAAATAGATAACTAAAATAATAATCAAATGCTATGATAGTATGGTTTAGACTTAAGGATTGGATTTCAAATTTGATGATTTGGTTGGTTAGTTTTTTATTTAACAAAAGAGTTTTATTTTGTGTAGTTGAAGGCTGGTCAGAGGTAATCAATATCTTTCTCTCAAAAGCATAGGAGTTATGTTCTCCTTACACGTCCTATTTACCTGTCAGTGATAGATTCAATATAGTGAAAAATCATTGATACTCTTACAGCTTAACACATACAACAAGGGCTCTTTATAATTATATCTAACTTACAATCCATCTTGGTATTTACCGTCATGATGAGTCCATTCTTCACTTTTTGATTTCGAACAGACCTAATTTATTAGATGGCCTAATAATTAATAGGGTCATCAAGTATAAAAGAGAATACACAATATTATATAAAAATAAAAGACTACAACTCTTTTAATTAACAATCAAATTCAACTGAATACATCAACGGCTACATCTATCCCCTAAAAGGGGGTTACAACTCATGTGTAAGAGAGAAAAAAACACGTATGCCAGAACCTAAGCATGATTACAATAAAAATCAAAGAGAGAGAATAAAAAAACTTTGGGAAAGATTTTCTGTAATGCTTGTAGTCTTCATCTTTTTTTTTTTTCCATGTCACTGTCGGTCAACTTTTTTTCGATTGATTAATTATGAAAATATGGTATATGAAAATAATTTTTGAAATTTAATTTAAGTATAAAAGATATATAGTTTGAGTTTTAAAAGTAGTATGTTTTAATTTTTGAAAAATGAGACCAAATGGATCTCATTAGTCTGATAGTTTGCATAATCGTGCCTGATACCGCGAATACTACACCCTCCCGAGAGATAAGTGTAGACCTCAGCGATAGACCCAATCCTGCAAACTAAGAGATTTGTGACATCCGTTTGGTCTGCAAGCGAACATTTTATGTGTGACCGACAAATTTCCCTATCTAATACAAAGATTAAATAGGGTTTATTTTACCTGGGTTCCAAGTTCCCTATAAAGGCAAGCCCCTATAGTTAATTACATCTCAAATGATTGAAGTCACTTGAGAAAACTCTCAATAATGATCAGTGGTTCTAGTCTTCAAGATTTCAAGGTTTAGGTTTTCACGGTAGGACGTGAAAAAAAAAACAAGTGGGAACAGTTATTTCAGGAGTTCAAAGAAAAGAAAATGTAGAGCATGTCCTAGATCTTGAGGAGAACCCTCAATGACTTCCCAAACTATCCTACTGTGTGGCTATATTTTTGGAGACAATGTTAATTAAGTGTTCAATTCTGCCAATTTTATTATTTGGGACTTACATTTGCATAATACCCGATTATGCAAATAACCCGCGGAAATAAGAGGGTTTACGTCGTGTCATACGACAACCTCGGAACCTAAGGCGAGTTAGGACTTACGCTGCACAACATGGTTGTACAGGAGCCTAAAAAGGGATTGAGGATTTTTACGTCGCGCTAGGCGAGCTACCTCGAAGTCCTATAGGTTGTTAT